GAAAAAAGGTTCTAGAGGAAAATGCAAGAACTACTGTCAGAAAAACGAAGAAAACGACTTTCTCTCCCCTTCCGATCTGCGAATGAATGATATTTCAACCTCAAAAAGACTTAGTATTATGAAAAACGAAGTCAGCGATTTTTATTTGAAAAGAATCGTTTCGGACTACGACACACTTAGCTACAAAGCTTAAATATTTGAAAAAAAGCACAAAAAGAGGTTACATGCATCGTCATTTGCACTGTCGTCGTCTTATTTTGCGTCAGTCTGGCGGATGCATGAGTCTTGCGTGGGGGTTTCACTATTATTTGGGTCAGTAATTGTGGACCTTGCAAGTGTAGTTTGTCTCGGCGGTAGCAGTAGCCAAGGTCATCTTCCCCGCTTCTAATGGATGGTCGGTTTTGAGATTTGTATGTGCTTGTACGAGGTCGTCCAATTGACGGGTTTCCCATTCGTTTGAGTCGTTTTTGCTAAGAATTGCACTGGTAGGGTGGAAGGGCTTCGACTATTCAGTAATGTTGAAAACTCGAAGACAATTTTTGCCTATAAAGGCCATCCACCTAAGCTGTTTAGGGGGAGGAGGGGGAAGGGGGAGAAGGGAGTGAAGATGACTGAATGCCGGCAACGAGGAAATCGGAAAAGTGCATTAAACCCAAGAATTCTACTTTTCATTTGCTCATTATTGTGTGAGCTACGTAAGGGTTCCACTGGGCACTGCTCGTTGAAGACTTTTTGGAACGTCCTTCAGCGGACGTTTAGAACAGCCCATATGTTGCTCTCATCCTAGCTTTGTTTTTTTTTTCTGATAGTCCCTAAATGAGGAGTGCTAGACATTTACGGCCTCACAATACACCCTTCTACCTGGCTGATTCCTTCAGAATGATGAGGTCATAGGCAGGATAGGGTTTTGGTTTTCGGGCTTTCGACTTCCTCTATTTTAGGCAGGAGAAAGAACGTTACGCATGTATTCACTCATGGTGCAATCGAATTTCCTGCTGGTAAAATACACCTCATATTTCTCTGAAGAAGTATAGAACGTGTTTGAGATCAACAAAAGCGGATTCGATAAATTTCCGCGACTTCCGACTTCCGTAAGTGACTAATTGTTCATCAAGTACCTCTGCAACGTTTGTCCCAAGTCCTTTACTGATTCCACATGCTCTTTAGAGAAGAAAGTTAGCTATGGAACTAATCTTGCGTCAACTTTTTGTGCAACACCCCGGCCACCCACTGGGGATGGGCTAACACCTTCATAAGGATTATGCCTAGAGAATCGCCTGTTACTTACCATTTAGTGTATTTAGGGCTCAGAAAAGGCGTAGCGGCAAGTGACGCACTACCTCTTGGGCCAGTACCCATCCAAAGATGTAACTCATACAAGGATTCCATCCTTGAGCAAAGGTTTACTTTCATCCCTAGATGGGTACTGGTCCAAGCCAACCGTGGCTTCCTTCCCTCCATTGTCGTTTGCTGGTAAAAGGCCCGTTTAGGAGGATGAATGAACTGATTTGTACAGCGTTTGGCCATCGAAAGTCATTGTATAGGCCACATACGTCTCCCCCTACGATTCCGAATGGAGGTCCAATCATAGAAGTCATTCCAAAAAAGGCTGATTGACGCCGAAAGACTTTATCCTTTATCGTTTAAGGCTCAAATGGACTAGTTCAGCATCGTATTCACTATGGCGCTTAAAGACGGGCCATGTCTTTCATGCAGATTTCCTGCACCCAATATCACTAACTAAGTAGGTTGTATCACCTGTGGCTTGCCATTCTCCCAAATCGCCGGGCGCTCAATTGCTCTGAAGCAAGTCAAATCGGCAACGGATTATTTTTGTTCACCGTAGTCTATTGGTTGCCCTTTTGGAGGTTGAGCTATAAAACGTGTTACTTCTCTATTTACTGCGGAGGGGAGGGGTTCTTATACAAAGCCGAACAGAAGTCCTCCTCTAACCTTTCGGACGGAACTAGAGCTTGCAGAAGGCTCTACCTCTACAACTCCAAGGCACAGTTCCGAAAATAACGTTTCTGAAATTCCCTATAGGACGAACTCGAGGCCCATCCTGATACCGTATGTTCCGATGTCAGGTCGAGAAACGTTTTGAATAGGGCATAATACGGGGCACTCACAGCGGACCACGAGTCTGAAAGGTGTTGTAGGGGCTGAATTATCTCAAGGGACTCCCATGTTGGAAGTCCAAACACCTTGTCATGACCTAAGGCGACAGTGGAATGAAGGCAGTTTTAGACAATATTGACTTGGTATACCCAGCTCTTCGCACGATTCTAATAACTAAAATGTCGTCCGAATGCCCCTTCAATGCCATTTCCGCCATGGTAATCTCGTACAACCTCTATTCCCATACTTATAGAAAGCCTCATTTTTCACGAATTCACGAACTCTCGCTTTATCGCCACCGATGCAATACTTTACATCAGCAGTTTCTCTTTTCAACTGAAAATGGGTACCTCGAGATTATCGTGAACTAAGCCTTTAGAAATGCAGCCCGGCATACATGGGGTCATTGCCTGTGAAAGTGAAACTATCCCCCGAAGTTAGTGAGTCGCACTCTCGCTTTACGATCAGCTCCGAGGCCTTGTGTCCAGGTGAACCGCGATCGATATCAATGTAGATGACCGTTATCCGACGCTCATCTCCGAACATCCCCTTGGCCTCTGTGGTGGTCATCGCGCAAAACTGTTCCGAATGATGAGACTGTATAGGAATGCTACCGTCGTACGGGATTATCGTCACGCGGTGTTCGGAAACCGCATAGACAAGATCCTATGATACGAGAGTGAAAACTTCGATGCGATCGGGTTCTTCGTTGATGGGTCGGAAAAGCCACATCCTTGAACTGGTTCCAACTTACAAATATAAACCAAGGGATATTAACGAGGATTTGTTCCAACTGCTGTATGAAGCATAGGGCATCTACGCCCTCTCTTCTACTTCCCTTCAGGACTCCTACCGCAACCGGGTTTCTCAAAGACTAGAATTATACCGTGGTTACCCATTACTCCAGACTCTATCGTAGATAAGCTTTGAAACCCCTATTGTGCGATTGCGATGATTGGGTGAACTGTGAAGACTACCGTACCATACCTTACTTACCGTACAGCTCAAAAGGGATATGTCTTTTCATAAACGATCTTCAGTGATGACTTTTTATTATTCAAATAAATTATTTCGATTTCGTGAACACTACGTACAACAACGATAACGTCATAACGGCACGACGTAAGTTGACATCGTCTACCGTGTATCGACGCAATTGCTTTAACGACGAGTTCCATCTTCGAAGAATACTCCACCGTCGATGGCGCAGTATTTGGGGCAGATACCCTTTTCTCCAGGTGTACCAGCAGGTCCAGGAGGTCCAGGAGGTCCAGCCTGTCCGTCGGCTCCAGGTGGCCCGTCAGGTCCAGGCGATCCCTTGGGTCCGGCTGGTCCAGGTGCGCCATCGTTTCCTGGTGCTCCAGGAGGTCCAGGTGGTCCAGGTGGTCCTGAAGCATTAGTTGAGACACATGGTAATTTGAAGATGTAAAGTTTTGTAAAGTAACAAGGTTTTAGCGCCTCGACTCAAATATAAGTTCATATTATCAAAATTCACCTTGGTCTCCAGGTTCTCCAGGTGCTCCGGGAGTGAGTGGCTCGCTCTGTGCGGGCGTTCCAGGCTCTCCAGCAGGTCCGGGCTGTCCAGGCTCTCCAGGTGGTCCAGGAGGTCCACGAGGTCCAGGTGATCCAGGAGCAGCATCAGTTCCTGGGCGTCCGGGGGTACCAGCCTCTCCTGGGTCTCCGGGTGATCCAGGTGGGCCTGGAGGTCCTGGTGGTCCTTGTGGGCAAGGCTTGCATGGTGGTGGGGTGGTGGGCTCACATGGAGCAGTGGGTGGTTTTCCGGGCACTCCAGGAGTTCCAGGTGCTCCTGGGCGACCAGGCTTTCCTGGCTTGCCAGGAACTCCGGCGGGTCCTGGGGGTCCTGGAAGGCAGCATCCTTCACACTGGAGGTTTGGTGCTGGGTTGACCTCAGGTGCGCCATAACCAGACTGACGGCTGGTACGGTTACGAGGAGCAGCGGGGCCACTGTTGGCCTTCATGAAGTTAACTTCAGCAAAGATATCCTTAGCGGATCCCTAAAAAGGTCCAAACATGAGAGGCGGAAAACTGTAGGTACGAAAAATCACAGAAAAACAAAAGTACAAAAGCAAATAAAATGCAATGCATACCTTGCAGAATGAGATCTCGTGTTGCATTTGGCGCCTAACATGGCTAACATAGTTATAGACCATTGGAAGGGTTAGTACGACCGATAGGACGGCAACCACAGAGAACGAGACGGCCGCATAAGCGACAAACTTATAAGCCTTGGTGCGTCCATCGGATTCCATGGTGGACTGCGCCGCTAACGGTCCACAAAATCGCCTTTTGTAGGCACGGCCTCGATCTAGCTCTACTCTCTCGCCCCTTCCCGAATCGGGGGGGAGGCGGGGGTGTGGTCACCACGCCCCATTCCACCTTGACTGTAGATGGCCAGGTCTGAGGGAGACGGTCCAAAAATGGCATAGTACATCCAAATAAATTGTTGCGCAAGATTTGTGCTAATAGAGATATTGGTAAAATGAGAAGCCAAAGCGGGAGGAGATCAGAATACTGCGAACCAAAAGTCGTCGAGGAATCTGTTGAGCTTCTTCTTTGATAATGAAAAATGCCAGACTTAGGAGGGACAATACAACCGGTAACAGCCCTACCCTTGTCCCTTCTATCGAGACCCCTAGAACATTATCAGGGTTCTTATAGGGTACTGACGTAACCGAAAAGCAAATTTGTTGACCAGGAGTTAAGAGAAAGCCGCTAACTATGTATGACATGTACTTCAATTCAATCTGCCTACGAATTTCTTCGACAACATTTCCTAATCTGATCCTAGGTAACTTAGCCAGGGAAACCACCACATCTCTATGGAGTATTGTTGACTGAGTCAACCCCACTGGTTCTGAGCCATGCACCTAGTTCGTCGCTTCGCTCTTCTGAAGTTCTAACAACTAGTCGGAACTCTAGAATCTGCTCGACAGGTTGAAGGAAAAATTCAAGAGCAAATGACCACCAACTAAATAGTTCATTTCCTTTTCCTTCAACAGATCTAGAGTAGACCCGAAGTCACTAGACCTATAGAATCGTATTTGACCGCAGAAAGCGCAAAACTTCATCTCTTCTTATAATCTGATACCTCCAGCTCTGATGTACTATCCGCCTCACACCTTCTGTTGTAAACATGAAAGAAATATTTTCTGTTCGTCCATATGGTCTCCTCAAGTCTTTCTCAATCCTTTACCTACTTAACTGTACCACTTGAATGGATTTTTAACTTCAGATTTTGATCTGATCGACTCTTTATTCTGCAGTATATTATACAAATTACATACGCCATCGAATGAGGTAATTTCTCTTATCACAGGCAACATCTTCGTAAATAATCCATAAAATGCAATTTTTACACATTTGCATATCAATACCCGACTCGAAAGCTATATAAAGCACATAATCACCCATCATGGCGACTGCATACAACTACGGTGACTAGAGCGACACATACAAGGTGCGAGTACCTGCGAGGTTCTGAATGGACGAGTTTTCACGGCAATCTAAACTCATTCAGAAAGCGGTAAATCAGCTCGACTTTCAAACATCGATTTCCACATAGTACTTTTGTTGATATTCAAAAAGTACAGATCCCTATTCATATCGAGAATGAACTTGACGACATTCTTTCGTTGTAGAATACCACATACGAGCAGCATTGCAAAGCCGACACCCATAAACAGACAGCCGGCGATGATGAACGGCGTTTCGGTATGCTAAAATTAGGCTCTTCTGTTTTGCAGAGAACTTGCAAGAACTTTTTAGGATTCAATCTCTGCAGGCAACTATGGCTTCTATGAAGGAAACGGTATTAGATGACTTGCAATTGCAACAGCTGAAATCTCGTCCATGTACCCCTTCCATGTCACTCTCGCATGGTAATCTCGTACAAACTCTATTTCCTCTGATTTGAGGAGCCTTATTTTTAGCAAAATCGGCGAATTTTCTCGCTTCCTTCCACGAATGCACGATTACCAACCAATACTTTGCTTTTTCACTCAACAGGGCACCTTATAACTATCGTGAGCTGTGCCTTTAACTCAATAGTTCAGAATTCACCATTTCTTATGCCATGCTGAGGTGAAAGTTTTCGGGTGGAAGGCTGTAAAATGTAAAATAGTTCAAAAAAGGTTTCTTAAGGTTACATGTTCTTCACTATGCTGCCCTATTGTTATTCATTAGTAGCTGAACCTGTAAACGAAAATAAGTCGCAGTCATTAATACGATCGCTGTCACATGAAATGATGTTTATCCGAGGGGGCTGTTGTGCAACATCGGCCGAGATCTCCGATGGATTTCTGGTCTCTCAAGATTCCCGACGACCTCCCAAGGTGTCACCACTACTGAACGAAACTCACCTTGGTCATTGCGTGATGGTGTAGAATGAATCGAGGAGGCAGGAGAAACGTAGTGATGTAAAAGACGACCATTATATTGGGTTGTCCGAAAAGTTTCCGCCGATTTTTGATACCCCGGATTTATCAACCGCTGTACAAAAGATCAAGGACCCAACCTAATAAAGTTATATGTTTTCTGAAAGAGTAGGTCGTCCTCTATATTCCTGTTGGGATTCCGTCAACATTTGTTGAAGTTTGTTTGTACAGGACTCGTATGAAAATGGAGAACCACTGCGCACATTTTCGACATCTGAAGTATTTCTTCTACTGCAAGGCCTAGAATGGGGCTCAAGCCGCATGAAAGATATATGACGTTTGAGTAGACCATGCCCTAGAGGAACGTACAGTGCATGACTAGTTTGCGAAATCCAAACAGAGTGAATTTGCCTTCGAAGACCGGCAACCCTTAGGGAGACTATCATCAGTTTGAACGATCAACTCAAAATGTTAACCGAAGCAAATCGGCACATCGCTGCTCATGGAGTAGGACAAGGGCTTATTGTTTCGAAACCAACCATCCATGGTCATCTGCAGACGCTTGGTTTTGTAAAGCGCCTTGATGTTTAGATATCTTGCGAAAAGAGCAAGCGCAAAGCGATGGACCGCACCTCCATGCGCGACTCGTTGCTCGAACGAGATGAAAATGAGCCGTTTCTGAAACGCATGAGCACGAGGGACGAAAATCGGATTGTGTACAGCAATGAGGAGCTGAAACGATCGTGTAGCCCCTTAGTGAGCNGTCACAAACCGCTGCAGAAGTCAAAATCTAGGTGCGGATGACTATGCCGAGTTGCTGATGGGATTTCAGGAAAATCACTTACCATGAGCTGTTGTCGCACAATCAAAAGATGACTTAGGAAAGGTACTATAGTTAGCTAGAAACTATGGAGGCGGCGATGGACCAAAAGTGACCCGAAGTGGCCAATTGTTAGGGCGTAATCTTCCAACAGGGTGCCTCCAGACCACACGTATTTTGGCCACTCGTCAAAAGTTGCTAAAGCTCGGGTGGGATGTCTTACCACAACCCCCATATAGTCCAGACATAGCACCATCAGAATACCACTTGTTTGGGTTTCTGCAAAGTTCCTTGAATGGAAAATCGTTCAATCCGCTGGAGGACTGCAAAAAGCACCTAGAAGGGTTTTTCGGTTTTAAGTCTGGAACCTTCTATGGAAGAGGGGAACTGGAACCTACAGGAAGATGGCGAAGCCTTACTGAACAGAATGGAGGATATATTGTTCATTCAATGGATTTCTTCTTCTAAGAATTTACATTCGAAGATGAATCAAAAATCGGCGGGAACTTCTCGGACAACCCAATACATTACGGAGCTGCCAAACTTGCTCCCACACAGCTTTCTGGAGCCATGATTCGAAGGAGCTTCTTGAACTGAGCCTACCGATGATCCTTATTTCTTATTTGACAGTTCAATATTATTTGTCATTTCAGGATATCGTTTCAGGGACAAAAGGAGTACCATAAAGACTCAGCCGCTCACACTATGAAGACGGTCATTTCCTCTACGTTACCGCTTTCTTTCGTTAATTGTTTGTTACTGAACGTCTAGATTTCTATGTACTTCATTTAATCACAAGGGCGAAGGTGATGTGGTGTAAGGGGCCGATCGCGTACGCATGGTCACGGTTTCGAATCCCGACCGATATCCACCAAGACTAACCAAGCCTTCTAACCCCCCATGGTCAGTTAATTTGTATCAGCCTCGTCTGGGAGGATAAAAGCATCCGCTACGATTCATTGTATGGGTCGCATACGCTTCAATACGTCACTATCATTCTGGATTGATGTGGAATGTGGGGGGTGCATCCCACAGACGGGATTGATTAACGCCTAAAGACTTTATCTAGTCTTTACTTTTCATGACCAACATATAAGAAACCTCGTAATCTTACCAGAGTTGAAAACAAAGAATTTCCTCCCTTCTTACTAGTCAAACCTTAATAGTCAATCTGTCATTCAACAATCATATCAAAAATCTGCCCTTATCTTCTGTCTGACGGGTGCTGATTTCACCCGTTTTGTAGTCGCTTTCTGCTCAAACGGGTTTCACCGCGACTATCACTTAAGCTGGCCAAGGATAGTCAAGCAAAGCACTAATTCGATTGTTCTCGGTGGCCAAGTGACTGATGGCGTACGTGGATCCATCCATACACATACTGTGCAGTGCATCTCTAGCGACATCTCAGTGTGNGTGTGTGTGATGATTTCTCTCATTGTTATCGATGGGAAGAGGTGAAGAATAGTGGGAGAATGGACGATAAGACGAGTAGGGAACGAGACGAGCAGAATAAGATAGCGATAATCGTACGGGATCTCTTCCGTCGCCCGGTGGACGGGATCTTCTTGTTATGTGTGTTGCCTTCGAGCTATCCCGTTACTCACGCGCTCTCTCAACATCACCCAACCACTCAGACGATTCGAAGAATAAATCCTATTGCTTGTACACGGGGGATGTATCAAGGAGGCTGCTTGATATGTGAATGGAAGGCCCTTATTAATTTGGATTTCCATTTTCTGTGAGGAACCCTGCTGGATTGAAAGTAACAGCTATCAAGTTTCCAGTCTAACAGGATAGAAATCGACAAAGGTCACGTCGTCGCCCTTTCTGAGACATCACCAAGTGCATGACTACACTTGGGGTCCTCTTCGAAACGAATGACTTTGATTCAACAGTTAATCACTCGAGCTGAACTCTGGGAAGGAGATGAAGGTTAGATTCGTCCCTTTCTCGCCCACCCGCACAGGAATGAACCTTCGTCGTTGTTCCCAACGCAGAAATACTTGAACTGTAATCGGTTGATTTCGATCCGATAGTAGACAGGAGGTGGAATTTGTGGCGTGCAAGGAATTGAGATGAGCCGAAATCGCTTTGAACTTGTGCCGCTATTGCTAGATGAGTACAGAAAGCATCAAAAGTTCAAATATTTTCACCATTTGAAGGAAACTTAGGATTGAAAGCTCGTTTTGGGTGATAATATCTGATACATAGTAATATTTAATACAATTGAAATGTTTTTGTGCCGTGCGAGGTTGTAGAAGGAACAATTTATCCAATCAACGGCCTACCGCTTTGACGCAGTCGTCTTCTACAGAGGCCAGGGTTCCACCGCTGAGATTATCAGTAGCGAATATCTACTAATGTCTAATGCACCAAGCCTGGTAATACCTGGTACGTGACATATTTCGAAATCCGCAACAAACAAAGGGAGTGGTTGCAGATAAGATGCCGAGTTTGTAATAAAAAGCTGAATTCGTTTTGAATAGTATCCCTCTGATCTCGTGGAACTTCAAAAGCATTCCCCCTATAACTTGCAGTTGAATGGTGAAGGTGGTGAGGTGGCAAAAGGGGCGCTATCACACATGCATGGTCACGGGCTCGAATCCATATCCAAGTAGGCCAATCAAGTCTTCCACCTCTCTAGGGCTGTCTAAATGGTGCCATACTCATTTGGGAAGGCGAAGGGTTATTTATCTTCGCGTTTACCTCGGTGACCCATACGCTACGCACTAGATGAGAATGGAATCCTGGGGATGGGGGCATCCTTCAGAAGGGATTTATTAACACCAAAATAATTTTTATGTACCCCTCACTGGCATTTGAAGCTTGGAGCCGGTGAGAAAGCAGACTTTCCATCCATTGCTAAAGTAGCGCTTTTTCAGTGTAATCGGAGAATCCTAGCTCAGGCCAGACTATTCCCTTTTGTACATGGGGGTCATAGAGCAGGCAAATCCCAGTATCATCAGAACTCCGATCCCATTGATATGTTGTAACAGGCTGACTAATAAAAACGAATATATGTCCTTTATGCATGGCTAATCTGCCGTCGGAGTCGGGGTGATTTATCTTAGCGATTACCTCGGTGACCCATACGCTATGCACTATGCGAGACTGTTCCGTATGGACGTATGACCGTTCGTAATTCGGGGCCATCCTCTAACTCTCTCTTCATGGCAAGTCCCGTAGATCTCTCAGATATCGCGCTATCTCTGACCAAGGATTCACGAACAGGGCTGTATTCACATATGACAAAGGATATTTGTGATCATTAGAAACTGTCAATGAAAGCAGAACGGGAGCGGAACGATCGGGATTGACAAATAGTTGTTATAGCGACTAAGTCAGGTTCAGGGGAAATCAGGATTCATAGAAACAAGTATGAACCCAAATACAACTATATCCTGACCAACGTCTAAGGGGTTCTGCCTCAAAGCGATTACAAAATATCATTTGAAATAAGAAAATATGACTGACCGCTATCAACACAATTGTTCCACTCATCATCAGAAGAATTCCAACGACGAACATGCCCGCCATAGTCAGAACTGTAGCCGCAGACGATGGGCCTTTCTTCACTTGATTCGTTTTACTCTGAAAAGTTTCTAGTAATCAGAACTAGCAACATTAGCAGAAAGCCTACTAAATGACCACTGTCGGCCGTAGCCAGCCGGCGATCTCTCTCGCACTTCCGATTGAAGCTGAGATTCGATTCGCCTAATAAATTTCCGCGGCGACCTCCAAACAATAGCTGTTCGAGGCCATTTTTCATATCCCACAAGTGAAAAGTTCAATCAAAGGCGTAGTGATGTACAAAGATGAATCGTTTCGGTCCGAAACTATTTCGGACGTCAACGGATGTTCACAGAAACATAAGACCGCTGCATCAACTTTGCCATTGAAAAAACAGAAAAGGTACTTATTTGAGGTACCTTTTTGCTAGTTCAGCTATTTTGAGCTCTTTTTTAATGCGATGCCATCTCAAGGGCTGCAGTCCGTTTTCATGACTGGAGAGAGCGACCTTACTCATAAGGTGTAACTTACGTTCGCATATGGTGAATCAGTAGATATGGCAGAGTTAAGAAGTGAGGGGGGTATTCCATCGAGCATAACTAGTCGAATGAATGGAGGAGCTGTTTCCTTGGATGCTAAGCTGCTCAGCGAAGATAAAAGCTAGCTCAGCTGCCCAAGCTTTTATAAAGCTGAATAGAGAGTACCCAATGGCGTAAACATAAAAGACATATTGAGCCTAATCCAGGGGTGGATGGGATGTTAGGTGGAGAGGCATCAATGGCATTCCCCTGAGTTGGAAGATCTGTTTACTTCAACTGATCGAATTGCGTAGTTGGTACGTAACCATTCAGTGCAGATCTTGCAGTTACTGCATGGTCTTACTATGAGCTTATCCTACAGTTGCATGAAAAAAAAGCTTCATTTAATGAGTCAAAACGCGTACTTTGTCAAACACTGGGGTATCCATTCGTTCCAGAGGATCAGCATAGGAGTATCGTTTCTTTGGGATCTTGATCTTCTGGCTAAGACCGGGAGAGTGCTCCTGAAACAATCGTTAGTTGAAATCACAAATCACGAGGAAGCAAAGAGCATTAAGCCTTGTTTTTAGGTTACTGTAAAAAGTAGTAATGGAATAAAATGCCGGCAAAACATAGGATTATTGCTTTCTTGACATATTGCCAAGCTTGTTGTCTCTTGAAAGGTCTGATAGACGGCACAAAGAGCGTTTATTCCACTTCCGACTTTCAAGGGCTTTTGTTTGAGAGAACGAATCAGTTCATGAAAACGGCTCGCCCTGTGAGCCGTTTTTAGACACCAGGGTCCCATGGGCCAAAAAACACTATTGCATAAATTTTTTGAAGAACCGCAATCAGGCTCATACCTACATTTGTTGGCATCACCATGCACTTGTCAAACTACCCATGTGCTCACATCGTCTCATGTGGGACCATCAATACTCCCATCTGCCTAACTAACTCATAAGCATCTGGTAAACATTTCACCTTTGAGTGGGAAGTGTTTCAAAAGAAACTCACAATACTCGATTCACCAGGAATGAACTATTACGAAATTAAGACCATACATTTAATTTCGAGAATGAAAATAATAATTCTAAAGAATAGGGTATCGAATTACCTCATCATCTCGTGGAAGAATATTCAGTGAAGACATCATGGCGAAGTGGAAAAGTTACGTTCGATAGGACTGATAAGGTCGGTATGAATCACTAGGCAAATATTCAAGGGTGTATGAGGGGAGAGCGATCAGGAAACGCTGTTGAATGGGTGCGTATGTTGGGAAACACGAAGGCCGAAGCCGTGAAAAGTTGCTCGTAGTAGGAGTGACAAATACGCCTCATTTACGATGAGTTTGCTAGCGTCAAGATCAGAGTGGAAGAGGTATCAGAATCAGATTTTGCATGAGTTGTCAATACTGAACTCGGAGAATGGTCTGCGTCGTCACCAAGGCCTAACATCCCCATTATGGATACTTCTCACTGAGCCATCTACGAATTCACGGAATGCTCGGTTTTTTCCTTTGATGGGTTTTCTCTAGCATTGTTTTCTACTATACCAGGGTGATATCGGATGATACCACTTTGATTAAGGAGGTCTTCTGGGGAATGTTTTTACTTTGATCGATCCTGTGTGAGGGTCCCCCCAGCATTCGAATTTTTTCGTAGTTTCCTATTGAATGCGTATGTGGCCAACTTTCGGTGGTCAGCCGATGTGCAAGTCAGTGCTTTTATCCTAGCAACGAGTCTAGTACTATTTGACCGATTCCGGAGGAATGGAAGGCTTGGTTGGTTGAAGTGGATACCGTTTCGGGATTCTAAAAATCGAGTTTCTCGCAGTAACCGCAGATGGTGTAGCCCTCGTAGCCGTTCTGTTGTAGCGCCTTCAGTACTCGCCTGAGAACAGGCTTCGCTACGCAATCTCTAATGTATCTAATAATAATTTTTTTTAACGACAGGTGAGGCGTAGGTTTCGCCTGCGATAGCGGTACTATTTACTGTACTCTATCTTTAGCTTATAGCCAAAAGTGAAGAGGTATCAATGATTGACATCGTTGCTCGCATAAAGCATGAGGGTCAGGATGGATTCTCACATATCCACCATGGGGTTCCTTAGAAAATTAAAATACTGTGAAGCGGGATGAAAGGATGATCAGGAGAGATATCAAGTACATGGCGCGTCTTTTCAAATTAATTTTGCCAGTATGTCTACGGTAACGAATCTCACCAGAAACATTGGACTCCTTTGAGGCGGATCTGCAAAAGTGAGCTCATTGAGATTAAGCTGAAGAGGGCGCGTCACAGGCACGCTCAATCGGTCTCTGGATGGCTCCATTGCCAGTCAACTGAAATGCGCTGAATTTTAACAAAAAGAAAAGTGTGAGACAATAAACGCTTTCATTTCAAATACAGTCTTACAATTAGTATTCAACAAAATGAGTATTCAGAGGCACGGTGTCCTCTTATTTTGAGAAATATTTTGAGGTACCCTTTTAAGTTGAAACATGGAAGCGTTGATGTAGGGCAACACAACGGTGGCGAATTAAGCGAGAAAATCCACCTACATCGCGGAAAACTGGGCTTTCTAAAAGTAGTGGAAATAGAGGTTGTACGAGATCACCATGACGAGAAAGGCATGTAAGGTGTGTTTGGACGAGATTTCGCATGCCCCAGCTGCTCAAAGAACTAACTACATCAAGTCGAAATTGTCCAAAACTGCCTATCGCTGTCGCCGCGGGTCATGACATGTTGTTTGAACTTCCCACATGGGAGTCGCTTGAGAGAGCTCAGCCTCTACAACGCCGTTGAACCTCGTCCACTGTGGGTGTGGCACTCACACGATACAATCTCTGGCCCTTTGTTATGCCCTATACAGGACATTTTTCGACTTAAAATGGCAGATATGATGTAAGGCGAAGCCTTGAATTCATACAATGGGAAAATCTCACAAATCATCTTTCTCGTAAACTGCGCCTTTGAGCGCTTGATGGGCAGCTACCGCTTACGAGGTTTGCAATGCTTAAAATATTTGACCGCGAGAGAAACTTGTACTAGGTAAAATAGAGAACCTTCCCGAAGTTGAAGTATACATAGGAGAAAGGAAGAAGTTTGACTGTTGATAGTCACCTCATACAACTTCTCCTAAGGTGCGTCAACTTCAGATGAACGATTCCGCATTACGGATCAGAAGATATTCCATAGAAAGTCTGTGTCTTCGCACAAAGGAATATCCAAACAACATATCATACTATGGGAATGACTCTCCTGAACTGTTCTTCTAGAGTTAGTGTCAAACTGTCAGAAAGGCTCCAAAAAAAAGTTACGCGTGCACACTTATGCACAGAGCTATGATTTAACTTGCATAACCATTTCGTGAAGCCTGAATGCTTGTAGACAGAAATTGAAGGAGGAGAAGTGAAGGGTCTGTTGTGGAATTGTGTGGTTGCGTGAATGTCAGCAAAGTCAGTGAAAGAAAAGTCACACATAACAATTTCCGGGACAGTTCGTCAGTTGGGATGACGGCCGAACGAGACCAGAGAAAATCAAATGTGACTAGAGTGTTCAGAAAGTATCCGACAAAAATTTCACAAAAACAATTTTTTCTGAATGTTTCGATAGTTCAAAAAATATAATCAAAGGACACTACTGGGTGTGGTGCGTTAGGAACGAAGTGGTCGCGTCGCGGTGAGAGGGACGTCGCGCGCGAAGGAATGTAGCAGGATGCAGCAGTAGGTAAGAAATATAAGAACTAAGTACTAATAGTAGAATTATGTATAAAATAATGATCGTATATCGATTGAGCTGTATGAAGAACGCTAGAGCTGTAATAACGGCGAATGAGTTGTCCGCGACAGCCGCGTGCGGCAAATCGATTACCCAAAATCGTTCCTAACGCCCGTCTCCCGACACTACTCGTTTGTTAGCGGCAATGGCAGGAGACTTCATCATATCGCAGTAGGCTGATCAGATCATCACTTATCTTTGGCCTTTTGGTTTACGCTTTGACGCACCGGAATGAGGAGTAAACAGAAACGCTCATGAGGAGTCAAAAACCGTATACCTAACAAAGGTTCCGTGAACTTCGGCAGCGAACTGGCCAGCCACGGATCAGCTTTGCGTAGACAGTTCGACCATCATAGAGTTTAAGGAAGACGGAACCGGATATTTTAGGCGTACACAAACGGTTAATGCCCTTGGGTGGAAATTCTGTGGGAACTTTCAAAACATTCCATAAATCTAGACTATGGCAGAACTCGAGACAGATGTTCTCTGAACGACCTAATAGGGGAACAAAATCGATTGAGTGTAGCGAGTTCACTTCGGAATAGCTTCGTGAATACAGAGCTGAATAAATGCCTACCGGGCCATTGTTTGGGAACGACTGCACAGCATTGACTGAATATTTCATAAAAGCAGTGATCGTTTGACGTGAACAGAGGGAAAGCAGGACAATCATGATCGCATACTATTCCCGTCATTACTTCCCGAATAGCGCTTTAGGCAGGGAATACATGGGGAGAAAAGAGTCTTTTTTGCGATGTAGTTTTGTCATTGACTCACTTCTGACGAGGTTCTATGAAGCTATTATTTGGGATGCAGTCCTCGCTTGCATTGGCTTTGCTGTTAGGTGAGCAAAAGGGTAAAAAGGCGAAGACAGACTAAACGGAATTCGTCTCACGATGAATAGTCTGAATGAATCATGTTTCCAATCTGATGACATTGCTTTCCCAGAACATTGGAAGCTTTGCTTCTTGCAATTCTTTCACCTTACTGTGTGAGGAAGTCTCTCAGTGTTGATGTAACATCAAATGATGAAGGATAGAGGTTCTGGCGTTAACTAATCCCGTCTAAGAAATGCGCCGCGCATTGGACTTCAATCCAGAATCGAGCGTTCTGAATTCGTTGCGGCCTATACAATGACTTGCGGTGGCCAGCCGATATACAAGTCAGTGCTTTCCTCCCAGACGTATCTGGTACCAATTAACCGACCCCAGAGGGATGAGGGGCTTGGTTGGCCCAAACAGATGCCGATTCGAGATTCGAACCTGTGACCATGGATATGTGGTAGCGTGCCACTTGTGCAATAACTGCACCACCTTCCCCTAAATCACTATGTATTATGGTAGATTAGTTGGGCAAAGAACTTGTGAAGGATAAATGATGATAAAGCTTGGTCAGTTTCGAGAATCGCAGCTTATAAAAGGAGCCGCAAAGACATTCACGGGGCAGACATTAAGTGAATTTGGCCCTCTATCAATGACATTACTTATGCTTTGCGCAACGTTATAGTGGTGTACAAATGCAGGACTACTGAAGTTCGTAAAGTCAATTTGTATCCCGTGTATGGACAAAGTATGTGATGAGCTTAAACGATGTGAATTTACCAATTTGAATTTGAGCAATTAGTTATATCTCTTGAGGTGTGTTGGTCATGCCGCGGCGAAAGGGTGTGAAGCAAAATAAAGTGGGAATGATGATAGACAAAACACCATACATGTGAGAAATCGTTATGTGTGAATTCTACGCTTCCTGGAAAGATTCGATTGCTCAAAAAACAATGAATTTAAATGTGATCAGATTAGAATAAGCGGAAAAACCTTTATAAAACGTCCCCAACATAAATCGGAAGTTGGTCAGGAGAAACCATGAAATGGCTGGGTAAAATTCTTGGAATGTCGTATTTTGTTAAAATAAAGGTCCTACGAGCAACCTCACCAGCACAACTGGTCAAGGGCCTCAAATGGTTGACGTTATGCTCTGAACGAACAAGAAGTGAAGGTTCAAAGTAGACATATGTTGGCAGTTATTGAAATTCTTCTGCCGTTCGAGGTTTCTAAGTGAGACTCTTTATTAAATTAATGGCCCAACGTTTCAGCGTAATCGCTTTCTTCAAAGTAAGGATAGAATCCGCTTCGACGGTGGAGCAGCGGATTCTATCCGCTTCGAAGTGAAATAACGCGAATGGAAATGCCTAGGTTAAAACAAAAGAGAAGTTGGAAATTATATGTCAGCAGTCTTCAGGAACGAAATAGAGTAGAAAATGTTTCACTAGAAGCTCAAAAGGGGGAAAGGTGTACTCAAGTAATCTGGATTCCCCTATTTTCTTTGTTAGTTTTCTTCCGATTTTTGTAGTTCAAGTAGTGGAGATCGTGTTCAT